CCGGAGCTCTCCAAAAACACGTCCGACCTCTACCACTCAGCACTCAGCTCTCAGATGGCACCACCTGTCTTCTGACAGATGGCACCACCTGTCTTCTGGTTACAGAAGACAGGTGGTGCCATCTAGCAGGGCGCAGTTGAAACAAAAGTGCCTGCAATCTCGAAGCCAATGGCGGGAAATTGCTAAATGGTCGCTTTTGCTGCTGCGGCTCCCGCTGCTTTCGGTCTGCTGCTACTAGCGCAGTAAAGCCGGCCAACGTTGCGCACGGCAACAGTGATGTGAGACGGTCCGCTTCTTGAGGCGGGTAATTTGAAGTGCGCTAACCCGATGCGGAGCACTAAAACATGATTTTATTTCAAAATAGGTCCTACCTTCGCCCAAAAGTAGCCCTACGAGGTTTTTGAACCACCATTTGAACAATCAACATCGACTTAATAGTTGACTTTAGTGTCCCTTTAAGGTTTTAGTCATGTGGCCAACTGTTACGTGATTTTCGGTCAGAACATTTCGCGTAAACAGCAATTGCGTGATGTTGCGTAATTTAAGTCTCGTGACTAAATGTTAACTGATTTTCTGTCACGCGACTAGATGCAGCGCGATATTTTACGCTCCAAGTTTTGTGGCGCTATGTATATCTAACATGTCCCTACGCGTTGTCAACATTTGCATATCTAGCAGGCGAGTGTTACTGCGTAATTTTCCGGAGGAAATTTTCGGAGCCCTCCACTACGGCGTCTCTCATTATCATATGGTGGGTTTTGGATGTTAAACCCCACATATCAATCAATCAATCAATCAATCAATCAATCAATCAATCAATCAATCAATCAATCAATCAATCAATCACCTATAGTTCTATTTGACTGCACGTTTTCTTTTTGCGTTTTGGAATATCTTGGAAGGAGGGGTATTTGTCGTAACTCGGCGTGATTACCAGCTCCGATAACTCTCAACCTCAACATCTTTTTCGCAGGTAATAGAGAGGGGACGTACTCACTTGGAAGCGAAGTGGTTGGCGCAAGCGATGCTACGAAATGACCCGCTCTTCCCTGTCCCCCACTGTCAAATGGTGACACATTTTTGCTTGTTTGTAAAGTGCTGTGTACACGATAGACTAGAGCAATGGCGCACGTGCATCGCTCTGTAGACGTCAGTAGATATCAATCGACAGCCCGCGAAACATTCGAAACGGCTACGGTTTTATCTTCAGTTGGTATTGCAACTATAGCACTTCGTGACACAGCCGAAAACTTTGTTGCACGCTGGTATAAAGTATACGTCGGTGGGGGCCACACGAGAACTGTTGCGTCGCGGACAGCTCTGAGCACACCTAGTTATATGTGTGACCGTTCGTAGTGGAACATGTATGCTGTTCAAGCGACGGACCGGTCGCCGTAGCAACAAGATATCAAATCTGTTATCATTTGATGTTTTATCGATGGAACCACTGACAGACAGCGCATCGCTTGACTACTGTTGTTGCTACTTTATCTGGTTGATGCTCCCCCCACGAAGATCCTTGCCTAAAGCGATTACCCTGAACTGTGCCCCCACGTTATGTGCGCCGTGACTGAACGCGCATCGACTCCAGCATTTCGCAACGTGCGACCATCGGCTTCTTTCGGTGCCGTCTTGTATGCCGTCCGGACGACTTCTATGCAAAGTGAGCTGCTCTTCGGCAAGGGCCAATTGCAAAGGTAAGCGTCTGGCTTTCATTACCTCGTTGCCATTGTCTAATTAGTGTTTTTCTCACAAGTATCTTTTTTTTTTCGTTCTCGAGACACGGAATCTATGTAACTCCGCAAAGCGCGCTGCTTGTTAGCTTGCGTACCGACGTGCGCAGGTGAATGCGGTCGTGAAAGAAGGCTTATACCGACTATGAGACCGTGTTACGAAATTTCGGGCCTGCAGTCGATATTGTTGCGCTGGTCAATGCACGACGAGAGCATTGCTCTTGAAGGTGATCCACTTGCCACTACAGACGCCCCAGACGTCGATATAGGCACGTGCTTCCGCGACCGGTATTTACCGTAGAAAAAATAGTTGTTCGGTGTATACGAGTACAATCCACGAGCGAGGCTTTTCAGAGATGAAGCGCGAACGTCGATGCGCCCGATCTCGCTACTGGCTTCCATGAAGGTGGCATTGCGATGGGAGCGTCTGCTGTGCTCGGCGCCATCTGCCGCCGCGCCTACGCTCCATTTGCGCCGGGAGCGCGCACCTGTTGTTTTGCACGGCGCTCTCCCGGCGCAGGGAGCTTCGACGGCGGCGGGCGCGCCTAAGGAGCTTCGTGTCTAAAAAGAAAAGGATAAGAGAACAGAGATAAAGAATAAGCAGGGAGGTTGACCCGGCTTGAGGCCAGCGGGCTACCCTGCACTAGAAAAGCAAAGTTCACCATCAGGGCACAGGAGCATTGGATAGAAACGCGAACGGCGCAGCGCACTGCTTTCATCACTGTCCACGGTGTAAGGTTATTGGCTCTGATTTTGTATGTGCGCCAAAAACATTTGGTTATTATTTTTTTTCTCAGCTAGACATGCAGATCAATGTGGGGAAATGTAAAAAAAGAAAAGCAGGATTGCTTTTATCTCATAGCAATTGTCTTCTGCTTATTTAACAGCAGTTGCATGGTACTGTGGTTACGTCTAAAACGTGGTGCTCAGCTTTTCCAGTTTGATTTGGTTTCTGCGACAAATACCAGTATCTTGAATTGCAGCTCGTTTCACAGTACATTTTTGACATGTCAATGTTTTCTAGCTAAATATATAATGATTGTTGTCTGTTACGTATATTTCGTAAGAAATATTAGCATTTCCGAAATGATTCGACAATGCTCGGAACCCCAACTAATGTATGGCAAATTTAGGATCTGCTCCTTAAACACCAGTAGCTGCCCTGAACTAGCATATATTTTTTCTCCTGCTCCAAAAACACACATGGCTGCTCCAAAGCAGCAATTCTCCTGCTCCAAAGTATGCTCCAAAAATAAAAAAAACATAAAAAACTTCAATCAATGAATAATATCGAAGGTGTAAAAAGCGCCAGCAGTGCGTCCTACACCGTGTCACTGTCTGACCATAGTGGCAATAAAAAAATGCCGGAGTGGAACTTCATTGTACCATAAATGACCCTGAATGTTTTTTTTGTTGTTTTTTTTCATCCAGGCTAGAGCCACTCGATAAGAAATCCGAACCAGCGGAGTGCGGATATGTTGCACTGGTCGTGATAGCGCGCACTGTAAGCTTTGTGTGTGTGCAGTGTCCTGACGAACACTCCGAACTGTAAATCTTTCGTGTAGCTTTACCGGTTAGTGGCGCAGAAAAGCTCGCAAAAGGGAATTTTTTCGTTGATGCTGGTACCGTGCACGCGACATGAAACGGTGATGCACCAGCAGTTTTACATTCCGCATCATTTCTTAGTTGCACGCTGTCGCGCTTAGGCGGCAGCGCCATCCACACCCTTACTGCGCATGCTCGGCTTGTCTCGTGCCTCGTTTTGTCTTCCTCGAAGGCGGATGGTTTTGTATATAAGCGCCAGAGCACGCGTTCGGAATTCAGTCAAGGGCGTTTTGGCTTTACTTTGACTTGACGCTTTGCTTGGCTCGAGTAGATGCGACGGAAGCAACAGTATGTTCAACCAGTAGTGGGGCACAACCAAACATGAGCGTCCCACCATTTGTTGAAGGCAACGCTTCTCCTTCATTGAATAAATAAACTATAATGAAGACGAAACATCAATTAAGAATTCCCAAGCCATACTCAATTACGCAACATTTACGTGATACCACCGCTCTGCGACGCATCTCACGCGTAAGTTGATTTTTCGCTCACAACCAATGACGCCGGCACCAACGCCGATGCCGGAATATTTTTACTAGCAGATGTTGCCAGTGCCGGTCATTGGAGACGAGAAAGGGTAGGGGAGCGACAGTTTTTCGGGTGTCTTACTCGGCCAGCACAAGACGCGAGCATGTGGCACGAGAGCCGAGCATGAGCATTGGGGTTGTGGACGGCGCCGCCGCTGACGCCGAAGCGCGAAATCGTGCGACAAAGAAATGCTCCGCAGAGCGTATTAAATATCGTAAGACTTCATCACACAGCCAGATCACGCATTTAGCCCCACCCCTGCACCCGCAAATCTTAGTCTGCCAGTTTTGCATATGTGCAGGGGGAGGGGGTCGAAAGTTCCCAGTCTACTATCCCGTGTAATTCTACGGAAGCATGGCCTGGGAACTTTTGATCAGGACTGTATGCATACACCAGCGCATGAAAACGCACCCAAGAACACACGTAAAGGGTTGTTAACCACCGAAAGAGTTTCTGGTTACGCCTCTGGTTGGGGTCGTAATGTAATAGTAACCAGGCGCACTTCAGTGGAGCCCTTTGCCTCCTTTTTTATGTTAAAACGCTAGCTTCGTATTTCTTCTAGTTTTCTCAAAAGAAGAAAATACCGTCAACACAGACTCATGCATGTGCTAGCAGCAATAATTCACTAATACCGGCAGTAAGAGCCATATATGCAACCAAAGTGACCTCACTGCCACCATGTGAGAAGAAAGTGCAAACTCACACAATGTGGACATTCGAAAGACGTGCGATTGTCATGATAAGCTCTAAAGTATTTTTGTCCTAACAACGGGATGAAGACAGATGCGGCAGCACGAAAGCAATTATTGTGATGTGTGTGTGTGTGATGTGATGTTTCTAGCACCGCAAGACGCGCCCATACGGAAACATGGCCTCGGTGTGTTGTTCGAAACGCGCGATACAAAAGCACCTAAACTAAATCGGGCACTGCACACAACGCGAGGGTCATTCGTTAAACAAAAAAAGAGACAATGTTTGTCAACGTCCTCAGTTTTAATTATGCTTTAACTGCGCTCAATCGAAGCACAGTCAGCGCCGTTTACATACATGATGAAGACAATACATCTACAAGTGTGACAACGATCAAACGACATTGCAAATCGTCACTCTCGAAGTAGGCCACTTATATGCACGTCAACGTTTTTGCAGCGCCATTGTGGGCGTGTGAATGTCACATCGTTTCTGCGGGCGCATCGGTGTCCCCAGCGCGCACGAAAAGGCCTCCGCGAACTGTTCCGTGTTGATCAAGGGCTGATTGCAGCGAACTTTGAGAGACAGGTACACCGAATTCTCGAGCTGCTTCTCGCCTTCTGCGCCACAAAGAAAGAAACACGTCGCAGCGAAGAAGCTCTGGTCCGCCGTAAGCCCGGCCACGCCTTGCTTGCGCCTCGTCTCCGCTAGCGCCCAGTAGGTCAGGTAGGCAAGTTCTGTGCCCGAGTTGTCGGCAAAGGACTCGGTGATAGTTCGCTCGCCGACGGACGAGTCCTGCAACATCGCGTTCGTCTGGAGAATCAGGCAGTCGATCTTTTCGGTAAACTTCTCCTTGAACTGAGGCGTGTAGAAGACGTCGGGTTCGCGGGCGTAGTTGACGTCGATGTACTTGGGGTCGAACGCGTGGGTGAGCTCGTGACCGACGACCTTGCCGAGCGCGCCGTAGTTAAAGGAGTCCGGCGCCGAAGCGCTCAAGAACGGTGGCATCAGAAGTGCCCCCGGCACGTAGATAAGGTGGTAGGTTGGCAGGTAGAAGGCGCTCGTGGTTATTTCTTTCAGATCCCAATCTTCACGGCTGGGCGAGCGATGCTCGGGATTGTCGGGTGGGTAGACTAGCCTCACCTTGCGCTCCGCGACGGCCCGGTAGGAGTCAACGAGCCAGTTTACGAAATTGCCGCCGTAGATGCCGGGAACGTGCGTGTAATGAACATCTATCGCTGCCGGAGAAAGAAGACCACTTGGTCCTCCGACGACGGCGCGGATACTACGAAGACGTCGAACCGCTCCCGCCGCCGACTGCTCGTCCAACCAGGAGAAATTGTAGGAGACCTCGATCGCGCGCCGCACATCATCCGTCATGTTTCGCGCGTAAGTAATCGCACTGCCTTCCAAGACGCCCATCAGTTGTAGCTGCAGGAGGCCGTAAGGGACGACCTCACTCACGTAAGTAATGCAACGCTTCAGAGCCACTGGAAACGTGAAGCTCCAGGAGCGGTACTCGCCGTGCTTGTCACACGTCGACAGTTTACTGGAAGCCCCATAAGAAAGGTACCTGATTATTTTCCAGCCAATGAAATTCTGCAAGTTCATTGTCCTGTCGGAATAAGCAGACAGGATGTCGACGACAGCAGACAGGGCGAACTTGTCGTACAGCAGAAACAGCTTGTCTGAATCGATGGCGGCGTCGTTGGGCAGGTGTTCGTTGATGGCGTCCACCCAACGCGCGGAAGTGACAAACGACGAGTTGTACATGGCATCGATGTCGGCGAACTTGTGGTACTTGGGCGAGTAGTCGTAGGCCGAGTTGACGGCCATGCTGGCAGCGAAGTCTAGCTCCAAGTTGATGATCTGCATCGTGATTCCCGCGACGTCGACGCTGCGATTGTACGTCTTGATGCACGTCTGCAGCTCATCCGGGTCCAGAATGGGTTCCATCATTAGCTGCGGATACCTTAATTCGAACGTGTATCTGTCTTCGGCCTTGAGATAGGTCATCACCTTGAGGGCGAAGAAGACGCTGAGGGCGTCCTTGAGGGTGAAGGCGACCAGCTGGCGAAACACGTCTCGCACTTCCACGTTCGTAGTTGCAGGCCAGGTGAGACCGCGCCTCTTGAGGACGTCGCCGATGTAGACGGCTTTGTCGACGTCTCCGCTGCTCCAGACTCGCATGCAAGACGACAGGGCTAGACCTGCCTTATCCGCTGCGTTCGTGGGGTCGCGAGACCGTTCGGCCGCCCGGAGGAGAACGAAGCGAAGTCTTTCGTTGAGGAGCGCGAACTGATGTCGCTTGCCAGGATACTGGTCGGACCAGCGGCCGCATACGTGACCGTACATATCCGAACACGGGTCCACGCTGGTGTCCATGCTGGCCTCTAGCTCGCGCGCAAGGTCGAAGCACTTGGTCGGGTGTTCGCAGTACGGGAAACCCCTGTCGGCGATGACACCGATGGCGAAGATTAACGCGCAGTATACCACGACAGCTGCGGCCATGTTCAAGCGGTACGCTCTCGATCGCCAGATGGACTCGATTTCAGACAGTCGCCGACCAAGCTGCGGCATCGTTCCTTGTCTGCTGCGGGTCTCGGGGTGCAATGCGCTACGGCGGCTGTCGTCGTACGGCTGACCGGCCATTCCAAAATGCCCCCGATGACCTTCGTAGTGCGCGCGAACGACGCCCTCGTTTGTTAGTAGGGGAGAAGGGAACGTCTTCGGGTGTAGTGACTGCGACTGCTTCGATTGACGCGTCGTATTCGATGGAGAAAATGTGTTGCCTGCTCTTTCACCGGCGCCCTTTCTCGGAAGACTGTCGCCCACTGGTTGAATGGAGGTTGCCTTACCGCGATGGTGACCTGGCACCGTTGTCGATGCCCCCAGCGGGACTGTTTTTCCCGTCACGGGAAGTGACTGCATCTTCAAAGGAAGCGGCGGCACCCATTGTTTCGATAGCTCGAACTGTATTGGTGACTTCGCAGATGGTGACGTAACGGAAGGGCTGTCCAGCCTCCGGTTCTCCTCGAGCAACGGAGCCGGAGTAGACGTTCTGTCGGTGACCTCTCGAGGGTCCGACACCAGGTAACGTCTTTTTACCGTGGAAGCGCGCACGAGCTCTGAAGAAGCACGTCGTCCACGAACTGCCACGGGGTGCGAGGCGCTTTCCGGCGAATCGAGTGGAGATGGTCCTGGAAGCTGCAGTGACCGGACCCGTGGGGTGAAGCCTCGTGGCGAGGCGCTTCCTTCGCCAATGTCGCCCATTGGGTCTTGATGTAGATAGCAAGGGTTGAGGAGACTCGACGCAGGCTGACCGACCGAACCGAGGTATGCTCTTCTTCGTCTTCTCCTTCTATCGAGTGCTACTCGCGTGCGCCCGCGCATTTATCGCTGTTCTCTTCGCATTCCCCGTAGCGCTGTTGCCTTCTAATTTTCCTTGAAACGCTAAACATCGCCGATTGAATATTCCAGCATTAACATTAATTTTATAAATATACAGTGTACAGGATGCTAACAGTTTCGGTGTCAATATTAACATTTTTTGTCGTCATATCGGTACACACCACATTTTCTGCCAGTCCCCCTTTGTGGATGGGGCCAAATTACTTGTACTCTATATTATGAGCATCATCATAACACACTCCGACAGGATCTGGCTTTTATCAGTATTCTATTGGGTTAGAGCGACACAAGTTTACATTGAACGGTGCATTTGCCCACGAAAACATGTGTGACTTCGGTGCACGGAATTCGTCGCGAAACTACAGCAGTGCTCTGGCTGCTGCGACCAAAATCACAATCAGCCGATGCGGAAACGTTTCGTCATCTCCCGATTATCACAGGCACTGTACACCGCGCAACCGATCGCGGATTTTTTTTTGCAATTCCATCATTTTTTGATTTCTTTTGTACTACAGTAGCACGTCTGCAGTGACTTTCTTCCTCATAGACACATACCTTTCAATGAAACTAGACCAGTGTTCTTGCTGCGGCCAAAACTGCTTCAACCAACCTCCAACGTGCAAATGCGTCGCCATCTTTTGATTAATACGCGCTCTACGCACTTCGCCTCACTGAGCTTGTCACGATTATCCTGGAAGTCAGAGTGTGCCGAGCACAACCTTTTAAAAAGGAGCGCCTGGCTGTGTACGGTATGCTTGTTGTTCTGTTTTACGCGCTCAGCAAAGACACAACCACACGAGACGCTAGCTAGCAAGGGACTGTTTATTGATGGCTGCCGCGCCGCGCGCGCGCCCTCTCTCAAGGTGGCCAGGTGAGGTGGGATCATCCCGATTTATTAAGCGGTGGCCCGCCTGGTACATCCTCCTTTTTCTTTAGGTGATGTAGTCGGCAAAGCGCGTCGGTGCTCTACGTGGCCTCGTTGATCTTCTGAGACTCGAGTCGGCTGCTTCTTGTGCCTGGCAAGTGACCTTATGCTGGGACGGGACCACGTCGGGGTCCCTCGATGGTTGACTTGCAATGGGTGGTGCACGTGCAGCTGACTGGTTCAGTAGAGCATCCGATGCAGGCGCCTGTTGTGACGGATGTCGTTCCTTTCGTGATGCGGATGCTGTTGTCAAATCGGGCGCTGTATCTGATGTTGAATGTTGTCTATGCTGCATAGGCGACGGGATTATCGGTGCGACATCCTTGTCATCCAGTGGGTCTAAGTGTTCGGGCGTCCTTTTTAGATGCTGACGATTCCTTCGATAACGCCGGCCTTCATCTGTACAGACTATGTAAGATCTAGGGCCAGCAAGTTTCTCTACTCGGGCTTTCGGAAACCACCCCTTGTCGTTTCTTATTCTGACGACGTCCCCTTCGGAGAGAGGTGTGAGAGGTATGCCTTTGCAGTGATCCTGTGGATGTTTCCGCACTGACGATGTCGAAGCCGATGAGAAGTCTGGAAGTCGTCCCCGAAGCATCCGTCCCATAAGGAGCTGACTTGGTGTGCGTCCGTCTATCAGGGGCGAGATTCGATAATTGAGCAGTGCAACCCAAAACTCCTCGCCAGCGTACTCACTTTTCTTCAAGAGGCGCTTTACGACCTGTACCCCTTTCTCAGCTAGACCATTGGCCCTGGGGAAGTGTGGACTGGATATGGTATGAGTAAAATCGTATTTTACTGCAAACTGTCTAAACTCTCGCGATGTGAACTGTGGTCCTCCATCGGTACAGACTTCAATGGGTATACCGTGGCGAGCAAACATGGTCCCTAGTGTGTCCACTACGACCTGACTTGTTGACTGAGGCAACTGTTCCACTTCTGGGTAGTTGGAGTAGGCACAGTACGCAACCAGGTAACGCTTGCCCCCATGGTCAAATAGGTCGACACCAATTCGCTGCCACGGCCGCGTTGGGATTTCCCTCGATAACAGTGGCTCTGAAGGTTGCCGGTAGGCAAAGTGCTGACATGTGGCACACTTGCTAATGAGTGACTTGATGTCAGCATTCATCCCAGGCCAGTACATCAGAAGGCGTGCTCTGGCTTTGCACTTGCTCATTCCCAAATGGCCTTCATGAAGACGTTGCAGCATGGATCGCCTCAGACTCTTTGGGATTACCACCCTGCTGCCCCGCAAAAGCACTCCATCAACATATGACAGTTCTGACAAACATGGAGCTAGTTCGCCTGAGACTGGTCGTCCTTCCTGGAGTGCCTCCACCACTTGCTTGAGGTATGGGTCCGCCAGGATTGCAGAGGTCAGTTCAGTCTTCGTGTTCTCACTTACGATGCTGGCTAGCACGCGAGTCGCATGAATGCATACGTCTTGTTCGCTTTCTCCGTCACTCGGTTGGGTTCCTGGAATTCGGGACAGCGTGTCCGCCACTAGCAGATGCTTCCCAAGAACATACTGCAATTTGATATCAAAAGGCATTAGCCTCAAGAAATAGCGCTGCAATCGTGGCGGCATTTCACTCAGGTTCTTTTGTGAAATAGCAAGCAAAGGTCGGTGGTCTGTTTCGACTGTCACTGATAACCCCAGTACGAACTCCCGGAAACGCTCACAAGCAAACGTCACGGCCAGCGCTTCCTTTTCAATTTGGGCATATTTTGTTTCAGCCTTTGAGAGCACCCTTGAAGCATAACCCACTGGGCGCCAATCTTGGTCATGGAGTTGAAGAAGAGCAGCACCTACTGCAAAGCTTGATGCATCAGCTGAGAGTTTCGTTTGCTTCAATGGGTCAAAAACTGCGATCACTGGAGCCGATGTCAAAGCCTTAATAAGATCTTTCCATTCTTTGTCATGGTGAACTTCCCATATGAATTCAACATCATTCTTTATCAATGACCTAAGGGCGTCAGTTCTTTTTGAGAGATTAGGTATGAATTTGCCAAAGTAATTCATAATACCTAAAAACCTTTGAACTTCCTGTTTACTCGACGGCTTTTGCATGTTGGCAACGCATTCAATGAGACTAGCATCGGGTTTTATTCCTTCTTTGCTGATACAATCTCCCAGGAATTTAACTTCGGCCTTCGCGAACAGACACTTTTCTTTGTTCAGTGTCAGGCCAGCCTTTCTCGCTGCCATCAGTGCTGCACGCAGGCGTTGATCATGCTGCTCTTTTGATGCACCCCAAATTAAAATATCATCGACATATACGCGTGTGCCCGGCAGGTTTTCAAACACTTCCGTCATTGCCTTCTGAAATACTTCGGGGGCGGACGCGATACCAAATGGCAGGCGCAAAAATCGGTATCTTCCGAACGGCGTGCTAAAGGTGCAGATCTTTGAAGTGTCTTCGTCTAAGGGGATCTGGTGAAACCCGCTATTGGCATCAAGCTTGGTGAACATCACCGCTCCTGCCAGCTCTGCTTCTATTTCTTCACGTGAGGGTAGCTGATAATGCTCGCGTTTAAGGCTTCGATTAATGTACCGCGGGTCTAGGCATATTCGCATGCGGCCATTCTTCTTCATAATAAGAACAAGTGGACTCACCCAGTCTGACGGCTCTTCCATTTTGCATATGATGCCCTGCGAGACCATCCGGGCCAACTCCTGCTTAAGTGGCGCTCGCAGTGCGTGTGGCACTTTCCTCGGCGGCATGATCGTGGGGCGCGCATCATCCTTCATTGCCAGCGAATATGGTCTACGGATGCAGCCCAGACCGTGGAATAACTCCGGGAACTCGGTGACCCAGTCGGTGCTAACGTCACTTCTTGAAGATACATCGTGAACGCGGGAAATCAGCCCGAAACGTTCTGCTGCATTCAATCCGAGTAGGACTTGCTTGCCTCTCTTGACCACAAAAAAACTGATATTCTCTTGCTGCTCTCCTAGACGTAGTGGCAGACTGATAACGCCCAAATGATGTATTTTGCTTCCTTCGTAGTTAGTAAGTACTGTGGTCGATGGCCGCACCATGGTCGGCAAACGCATCCTGCTCCGGAAAACCGCCCGTTTGCGGAAGTCAAGGCTAAGCTCACTTCGCATTTTGTCCACCCTATCAATGAGATTTACGAGAGCCGCCGATTTCACCGCCGAGTGCAACAACTTGGGGAGCCGGTTGATGAATTTTTCACCGCGCTCAGGAATCTTGTCAAGCGTTGTGGGTACAACAACGCCGAGATCGAAGACCGCCTTGTGCGAGACAAGTTTGTCGTTGGATTGCGGAATGAGAAGCTATCGGATCAGTTGTGCCGATGTACGAAACTTACAGCTGAGGAAGCGTTGTGCCAAGCGCGTGTTCATGAAGAAGCCGAAAAAGAGCGTCTATCCCGTGAAACTCCCAGCGAGAACGGGGCCTTTGACAGCTTAAACGTGGACGCGGCGCAACGCGCGAAGAACGCTTCATCGCGTCGCAGCAAATCTGTGCAGCCAACTCAGTCTACTTGCGATTACTGCGGCCGTGGTCACCACTCTCGAAAAGAATGCCCAGCTCGCAAAGCCACATGCAATTTCTGCAAGAAGCAAGGTCATTTTATTGCTGTTTGCCGGGCCAAGCATCGGAAAGAGCTGTTAGGCTCAGTGGAACTTCACGCGCTCAGTACGCGTCGGGCACGATATGCCGACATTCACGTGAATGGTCACCTCGCACACTTCAAGATAGACTCAGGGGCCGAAATAACGGTGGTTTCACCTTCTTTTCCGGCATTACCTACTGTTTTGGATAAAGTGGACGCCGAGGTATCCGGTCCTGGAAATCAAAGGCTGCACGTTCTGGGATCTTTCACTGCTACCTTGCAGTGGCGTAACAAAGTGTCTGTGCAAAGACTGTATGTTATCAAGAACCAGACGACACACCTCCTGGGATTACCA